CAGTCAGTGATGGTCTGGGGTGCCATGTCAGCTGCTGGTGTTGGTGCACTGTGTTTTATCAAGGGCAGGGTCAATGCAGCTAGCTATCAGGAGATTTTGGAGCACTTCATGCTTCCATCTGCTGAAAAGCTTTATGGAGATGAAGAATTCATTTTTCAGCACGACCTGGCACCTGCTCACAGTGCCAAAACCACTGGTAAATGGTTTACTGACCATGGTATTACGGTGCTCAATTGGCCTGCCAGCTCTCCTGACCTGAACCCCATAGAGAATCTGTGGGATATTGTGAAGAGAAAGTTGAGACGCAAGACCCAACACTCTGGATGAGCTTAAGGCCGCTATCGAAGCATCCCGGGCCTCCATAACACCTCAGCAGTGCCACAGGCTGATTGCCTCCATGCCACGCCGCATTGAAGCAGTCATTTCTGCAAAAGGATTCCCGACCAAGTATCGACTATTGAATGCATAACTGAACATAATTATTTGAAGGTTGACTTTTTTTTTTTTTTTTATTAAAACACTTCTTTCGAAAATCATATTTCATCTGTTACAAGAACAGCCTTTTTCCACCTTAGAAACATTGCTAAATTACGTAACATGCTATCTGTTTCTGATGCAGAAAAGTTAGTTCATGCATTCATGACCTCGAGACTAGATTACTGTAATGCTTTATTAGCTGGTTGTCCTGCATCCTCAATAAACAAGCTACAGTTAGTGCAAAATGCAGCCGCTAGGGTTCTTACTAGATCAAGAAAATATGATCATATAACACCGATTTTATCATCTCTGCACTGGTTACCTATTAAGTTCCGTATCAATTACAAAGTACTACTACTGACCTATAAAGCCCTTAATGGTTTAGCTCCTATGTACTTAACGGACCTTCTTTCGCCCTACAATCCACCGCGTTCTCTAAGATCACTAAATTCAAGGCTTCTGGTCATTCCTAGGATATCGAAGTCCACGAAAGGAGGGAGGGCATTCTCGCATTTAGCTCCAAAACTCTGGAATAGCCTTCCCGATACGGTCCGATGCTCTGACTCGCTGACAGTTTAAAACTAGACTAAAGACGTGTCTCTTTAGTCAAGCATTCACATAATGCTTACCTTTTAGTCCTCTGCTATGCCATACGGAACCGTTTGCCACTGAAACTGCTTAACGCACCAGTGGGGCTCGACAGCCTTATAGACAAACGGGTCGGTCCGTATGGTTGCGGAGAATTTGGGTTACGGAGAGTTGTGAGATTATGGTTTTCTAACACCTACTCCCGTGTAATGGAAATCATTATGAACATCAGCTATGCTAATTATTTCCCATCTGCCTTTCTGCTGTTATCTCGGGACGCTTGTCCCGAGAAAAATGGCGTTCGTAGGCTCCAGTTTGGTATCCTGCCTCTCACGGGGATTTCGGATGCCCCAACGCCTGTGATGAGAAGACCAACGCCTGTGAAGAGACGACTCAACGCCTGCGAAGAGACGACTCAACGCCGGCGATATGTTATCCCCTAAATATTACATGATTAACTAAATGTATTTTTTCCAGGTACTCTCTGATATGGACTTACTGTAAAGCTTCTTTAAAACCCTATGATTGTTAGCCAGAGGAGAACTGGCCCCTGACTAGCCTGGGTTCTCCCAAGGTTTTTTTCTCCATCCAATCTGATGGAGTTTTGGTTCCTTGCCACTGTCGCCTTGCTTTTGGCTTGCTTAGTTGGGGATATTTAATATTCAACAATATTATTGAACTGTGTTGTACTACTTTCATGTTATCACTGTGAAGCTGCTTTGATGCAATCTGTATTGTGAAAAGCGCTATATAAATAAATGTGACTTGACTTGACTTCTTTTATTGGTCGGATGAAATATGCTAATTTTTTGAGACAGGAATTTTGTGTTTTCATGAGCTGTATGCCAAAATAATCAGTATTAAAACAATAAAAGACCTGAAATATTTCAGTCGGTGTGCAATGAATCTAAAATATATGAAAGTTTCATTTTTATCATTACATTATGGAAAATAATGAACTTTATCACAATATGCTAATTTTTTTAGAAGGACCTGTAGAATTGTACCTTGTGGTTAGCCTGGGTTGAAGCTTCAGGGAAGCTTATGTAATGTGTCCTCAATTCACAAATTGCCCTGCATACTCTGTGAATCCCCAGTTTCTCTGGGAAAGGTGCCACATGCCAAACACCTTAAAGATATGAGCACCTGCAGACAAACTGGAACAGGCCGTCCTATTGGAGTCAGAGATGAAAGCCTGGGTTCTAAAAGTGAAATAACCTCCATTGCATTTACTTTATGCATTTGAAAAATGATCTCGAAAACTTATTTCATCAAAATGTTGCAATGGGTGACTTCTGTCTGCAAGACCGTGTCCAGCTGGTGGTAAACGTTGATCATCATTGACATAGTCCAAGTAATCCATGTCTTCTTTGACAAACTACCTTAATCTGAAGTTAAAGCTGCCTCCTAGGTTTAATTTAAGCCTCAATTTAGTCCTGGAGTAGCTCTAGTCTTCCTCTAGGAAACCAGCTTATTAAACTCTGGACTAAACTAAGTCTAGGACTCTTTAAAACCATGACAGAGAAAGCAGATTTCTGTTCATCTGGTTTAAAGGGCCATTTTAGTCCAGGACTAGGCTTGATCTCTGTCCGGGAAACCGCCCCGTCATGTTTAGAGCTCAATCCTGTTCTGTACACAAACGGGACATACAACCACATTTACATGCTTTGGGATCGAGTCACCCTAACCCAGCGGCTCGAAGACAAACTAAACAGCCTAAGCGTTAGCACACCAAATTATGCCAAAATACACACAGCCCAAGGTATGATGTAGATATGATATATAGCTGCTCCATTAAAGATGCTGTATGTCTATTTTTCTGTAATAAAGCATGAAAATACCATAACATGTTAAATCCAGCGTATTGCAGCCAGAAAACAGATTCTTCCAGACCCAAAAAGCGTTGGCATCCATCTAACAAGCCCAGTGTCTACAGGCATATTAAAATGTGGATAAATACTGGAGATGTTTTTGAGAGATGGAGACAACTTAAAGCCCAGAAATTCAACCCACGATTCAAAACATACACCAACAATAAAGTGCAAAACATTCAACTTGTTATATCTTCGGTTCAGAGACATAGTTGAACGGTCCATAACTCTCTGAATTGGATTGGCCCTGCTTTACTGAGGAACAAATGAAGATGCAGTGTGATGACTGGATAAAGACGGAGGCTATGGCTTCAATCGTGCCAACAAACTCATTGAACACTTGAAAGGGCTAGTGAACGGATCCTGACGCACGAAAAGATGCTTCGGTCATTGAGCCCCAAAACAAAAGTGCACCAATTTAATTCTTCATTTACAAAAACCTGACGCACACCATTTAGGCCGGTCTGATCTCTGCTGAAAAATCCAGCACGCATTCCATGTTAGTATGGTTAGTTCTGGTTACGCTGGTTAGAGCTGGTATAGCGTTGGCGTAGCTGGCGGACCGGCATAATCATGGTGTTCTCCAGCTAAACTGATCCGCCATTCAGAAGACCAGCATCCCAAGCTGTCCCAGCATGCAAACCATGGATTTTTCAGTAGGGATGACAGAATAATTGAAGTCAAACCTCATCTTAGAAATGAAGTGATTTCAGTGGACCTTAAACATGCAGCGAATGCTTCCTCCAGCAACAGCCATACCAAAATGAAATTACATCACCTGAAGAATTGCTGGACTCAACAGAATTGAGTGGGGATGTGTGCATATCAGCGCTATCCCAACACCTGTGAAAATGATTTTGGTTTATAAGAAAAGTTCAACAGCTGATTTAAGGTTTTTGACCATTTTAAAGTTTTTTTTTTCTGTTTATTAAAAGCAAAATTACAAATCACACTAATAGCAAATCACATCTGCCTATAATTCAGATGAAGTGTTATGATACAAGATTTGGTTCAAGTATTTTACAGTTTCCATTTTTCTTTTCTCAATAAGCCGAATGTATATACGAGTCATGGTAACGAATATTATCAGTTTTAATGGATCACATACAGTTATTTATATGGCTTTATGAATTATTTTGTCTGTTCCCAATAATCCGAGCCGTCGACCTCTGAAGAAGCACGACACCGTCATGAACTCGCACAATGGAAAAGAGCATTTAGTTGAATAAAAGCCTTTTAATTATATCAGTGATCACAAGAATGTCCTCATCAGGACTTGAGCACAGCTACTTTGAATGAAGAAGCCCACCGAGGGAAACGGCCAAGGGAACTGCTCAATGTTTGCCGAGAGTTAAAATGAAATCAAATTTAAATGTTACCAGAGAGCATGACCGAAAACATTCAGCAAACAAATGTATAGATGTTCATATGGCAGCCAAATTCAAAAGTGAAATCCCATAAATTAGATTGGAATATTGCTTATGATCCAAAGGCAGTCGGGCAAATTTTTCAAATCATCATCATAATCAAAGGTTTGCCTTTCTTCACATGATTCCAGTTGAAACCCTGAGGTCAGTTTCCCTTTACTCAGACCAACATGCTGTTTGTATGAAGAAAAGCAAGAAGTGATACTAAAACATACCCATAATAACTCAAAACGCATTAGGGCGAGCATAAAAAAGGTGAACACGTAAGGCAAATATATCTCTATAAACAATAAATGACACATACAGCCAAGGTGGTGTAATGTCTCTTAATTTCTTGAATTCATATGTACACTAGGACCAACACTCTGGTAATGACTCCCGCTGGCAGGAGATGGTGTGATTCTGCCGGTGAACGAGTCTCTGTCCGTGACGAGCTCGGCTTCACGTCTCGGGTCGTCCTCCACTGATGATGATGATGATGATGAGCGGAGGAAGGACTCGCCCATGTGAAGGTGGAGTCGTCGTCTTCTGTAACAGACCGTGACACTTGGAAGCAAGCGAGAGGATTTGGCAGGCGGACGTTAGTGTCACAGTGATGGCCAAGCTTACGGTGCGCTAAAAGTTATTAGCTATAGAATTTAGCGTCCACCCCCGAAAAAAAAAAAACGGTAACATAAAATCATCTCGCTCAAACAACTGCAGATCTATAGTATTTGCATTATTTTCTGTGTTACGGGTTTGCCTCATCCAGTACCTAGTCTAGTCAAGAGCAATCTTATCATCGTTCAACACGATCTCTAACAAGGAAAGAAAAAAAAAAAGATCATGGTGGAATCACGCGTCGTTCGGCCAAATAAAACAGTGAGTCCACTGAGGATTATAGAGCAGAAAGATTCAACAAAAGCCTTTTTGTACCCCAATGATACAACAGGAATAAAACTTCAAAGTCTTTAATAAAACGAAGAATGGAAGTATTTCTCATGCCCTCTGCTGTCCGTTTCTGATGCACAATGCTGTGACCGAGGGGAAGATGGAAGAGCCTAGATTGGACAATCGTGAGCCGTTCGTTGGAGAGCCGCTGTGTCATGCTTGTGTTCGGGCGGTCGGACCCGCGGCCCATGAGACGCTCACTTCGGGGGCTTGCCGTCTGAGGCGGTTCGCTGGCTCGGGGTGTTGGCAGCATCTCTGGGGGGAGGAGCTCCAGCTGAGGGGGCGGAGCCTGAAGCAGCATCTCTGGTGGGAGGAGCTCCAGCCGGCGGGGCGGAGCCTGAAGCAGCATCTCTGGTGGGAGGAGCTCCAGCTGAGGGGGTGGAGCCTGAAGCAGCATCTCTGGTGGGAGGAGCTCCAGCCAGGGGGGCGGAGCCTGAAGTGACCTGGTTCTGGGATCGGTTGGACTGCTGGGAAGGGTGACGGCGACGGCCATCTCCGCTGGAAGAGTGTCTCTTACGCCCACCTTCCTCCATGGGCGGCTGAAGGCAAGAAATAACACATGGTTTGGTGCTTGAGCATAACCTTTCAACTCTTGAAACTGAAGCATCTCTCAGGCCCTGTTTACAGCTGCTGTTAAGACGTGTTTTGGTCAATCGGATTACAAGTGGACGACACTCTAGGGGTGTAACAATATATCGTGTCACTATTCATCGCAGTACAAAAATGCAACAATCTATATCATGGGAAGTGACAATCTGTATTGTGTGTAGTTCAACTAAAAAAAAAATTACTGTGCGAGTAAAAAAGTCAAGTTCTCTGAGTTCTATGTCAGTTCTACATTAAACTACTATGTATATGTATATATATATATATATATATATTTATGTGATATTATGTATAATAATGCAATGGGGGAATATTTGTGGGTCCTGATAATGCCAGATGTCTGATGTTACTAGTTAAAAGTCCTACATTATTTAAAAAATATTCATGATCAAAATCATGAATATTGTTATTCTGGTGTCTCTATTGTCCTGTGCATTCATTTAACACACACAATGTAATATCAAATTTAGCATTACAAATCAACAGTACATTTTTTGTTAACCTTTTAAAGGGTTAGTTCACCCAAAAATGTAAATTCTGTCAGTAATGACTCTCCCTCATGTTGTTCAACCCCGTAAGACCTTCGTTCATCTTCGCAACACGAATTAAGATATTTTTGATGAAATCTGAGAGCTGGATCACTCCTCCATACTAGTCCATAGGCTTCTAAGGGATTGAAACTGACCGGCCCAAAAGTTATGAAAGACATCGTTAAAATAGTCCGAGTGACTACAGTGGCTCAACCTTAAGTTATCAAGCGACGAGAATACTTTTTGTGCGCAAAAAACAAACAAAAATAACGACTTTATTTCAACTATTCTTGTCCATCTCTGTGGGCCTCGAGTCAGTTAACGTAGTGTGATTCCGTAGAGCTAGTGTTGTTTTTGGCGGCCTGTTTTAATTTTAGTTTTAGTCTAGTCTTTGTGTCAAGCTGTCATTTTAGTTTTTATTAGTTTTAGTCACATTCATACTCTTTTTAGTCTAGTCTAGTTTTAGTCGACGAAAGACATAGTCTAGTTTTAGTCAATGAAAATTGTATTTTAGTCTCTTTTTAGTATTCTATTTAACCCAGTCAATATAGTATAAGTACCTATAGTACAGGTCCTTCTCAAAAAATTAGCATATTGTGATAAAGTTCATTATTTTCCATAATGTAATGATAAAAATTAAACTTTCATATATTTTAGATTCATTGCACACCAACTGAAATATTTCAGGTCTTTTATTGTTTTAATACTGATGATTTTGGCATACAGCTCATGAAAACCCAAAATTCCTGTCTCAAAAAATTAGCATATCATGAAAAGGGTCTCTAAACGAGCTATTAACCTAATCATCTAAATCAACTAATTAACTCTAAACACCTGCAAAAGATTCCTGAGGCTTTTAAAAACTCCCAGCCTGTTTCATTACTCAAAACCGCAATCATGGGTAAGACTGCCGACCTGACTGCTGTCCAGAAGGCCATCATTGACACCCTCAAGCAAGAGGGTAAGACAGAAAGAAATTTCTGAACAAATAGGCTGTTCCCAGAGTGCTGTATCAAGGCACCTCAGTGGGAAGTCTGTGGGAAGGAAAAAGTGTGGCAAAAAACGCTGCACAACGAGAAGAGGTGACCGGACCCTGAGGAAGATTGTGGAGAAGGACCGATTCCAGACCTTGGGGGACCTGCGGAAGCAGTGGACTGAGTCTGGAGTAGAAACATCCAGAGCCACCGTGCACAGGCGTGTGCAGGAAATGGGCTACAGGTGCCGCATTCCCCAGGTCAAGCCACTTTTGAACCAGAAACAGCGGCAGAAGCGCCTGACCTGGGCTACAGAGTAGCAGCACTGGACTGTTGCTCAGTTTTGCATGTCATTTGGAAATCAAGGTGTCAGAGTCTGGAGGAAGACTGGGGAGAAGGAAATGCCAAAATGCCTGAAGTCCAGTGTCAAGTACCCACAGTCAGTGATGGTCTGGGGTGCCATGTCAGCTGCTGGTGTTGGTGCACTGTGTTTTATCAAGGGCAGGGTCAATGCAGCTAGCTATCAGGAGATTTTGGAGCACTTCATGCTTCCATCTGCTGAAAAGCTTTATGGAGATGAAGATTTCATTTTTCAGCACGACCTGGCACCTGCTCACAGTGCCAAAACCACTGGTAAATGGTTTACTGACCATGGTATTACTGTGCTCAATTGGCCTGCCAACTCTCCTGACCTGAACCCCATAGAGAATCTGTGGGATATTGTGAAGAGAAAGTAGAGACGCAAGACCCAACACTCTGGATGAGCTTAAGGCCGCTATCGAAGCATCCTGGGCCTCCATAACACCTCAGCAGTGCCACAGGCTGATTGCCTCCATGCCACGCCGCATTGAAGCAGTCATTTCTGCAAAAGGATTCCCGACCAAGTATTAACTATTGAGTGCATAACTGAACATAATTATTTGAAGGTTGACTTTTTTTATTTTTATTAAAAACACTTCTTTTATTGGTCGGATGAAATATGCTAATTTTTTGAGACAGGAATTTTGGGTTTTCATGAGCTGTATGCCAAAATCATCAGTATTAAAACAATAAAAGACCTGAAATATTTCAGTTGGTGTGCAATGAATCTAAAATATATGAAAGTTTAATTTTTATCATTACATTATGGAAAATAATGAACTTTATCACAATATGCTAATTTTTTGAGAAGGACCTGTATAGACGAAACCAAAATTTTCTTTTAGCCAAACCCATTTCAAACAATCTTATCTTCTGTTATCTTATTATATTATTGTTACCTTATAGACTCAAGAATACATCCATTCCAGACACGGAAAATGCTTTGATTTGAATTTACAACATATTTATTTTACCAACCAAACATGTTAGAAGTAGCCTACACACATGATGAAATGAAAGTTTTTCCTAATGTCATTTCTTCTTTTTCTCCCAAAGACGAATCCCTTTCTCTGTGTCAGACTTAACTTTGTTTGTTGTCGTTTATGCTAATGCCTGTTTCACACATCTCCTGCATACACACCGCATACACACGGAGTATGTGTGAAACAGCCGTAACTCGCGACGCAGCTGATCTTCTAAATAATGCCGCGAGTGGGGCTTGAGGATGTGAAGTCTGCGCAGTGCGATCTGATGCCGCCCCTGAAGTGACACAGGAGACAGAAATGCTGCATAATAATAATGCAAGTAAACGAGACGAAATAACGTTAAATAACATTTCGTCTCGTCTCGTTTTGGTCAACGAAAATGGAGACATTTTAGCATACTTTTTATTTTGTAAACCACATTTAGTCTCGTTTTTATTCGTCAACGATATTGCATTATACATTTAGTTATAGTCATCGTCACATGACCAGCATTTACGTTGCGTCTCGTCTCGTTTTCGTCACGTGATAAAGGTTCGTTGACGACGATATTTAGTCATAATTTTCGTTGACGAAAGCAACACTACGTAGAGCTACGTCACACGTAGGCTCACTATTGGCCGACGCTGGTCATGTGCGTGATGCGTGTGACGTACAACAACAGAAGCTTACGCTATTACACTAGTGAACTCACTCGAGGCCCAAGGAGATGGACAAGAATAGTTGAATAAAGTCGTTATTTTTGTTTGTTTTTGCGCACAGAAAGTATTCTCGTCGCTTGATAAACTTAAGGTTGAGCCACTGTAGTCACTTGGACTATTTTAACGATGTCTTTAATAACTTTGAGGCTGGCAAGTTTCAATCCCTTAGAAGCCTATGGAGGAGTGATCCAGCTGTCAGATTTCATCAAAAATATCTTAATTCGTGTTGCGAAGATGAACGAAAGTCTTACGGGGTTGAACAACATGAGGGAGAGTAATTACTGACAGAATTTTCATTTTTGGGTGAACTATCCCTTTAACATAGTATCGCAGTAATATCGTGAGTTCAGTGTCGTGATATGTATCGAATCATGAGATGAGGGGATTGTGTAAACGCTCATGTGGTCGAGTGTGTTCAGACCGCCTTCTCTCCGCTACTGACCCAATGCGTGAACATTAGAGAAGAGCTCTAGCCAGACGGGTTTACACTATCGGCTGGAGACGCAAGTTTGGTTTGTAGATGGAAATGTAACCAAGCGGATGTTCTCTCACTGTTCCTGATTTCCAACACTCACAGCGTTCGGCTGGTCTAACGGCTGGTCTAACGGCTGGTCTAACGGCTGGTCTAACGGATGGTCTAACGGATGGTCTAACGGATGGTCTAACGGATGGTCTAACGGATGGTCTAACGGATGGTCTAACGGATGGTCTAACGGATGGTCTAACGGATGGTCTAACGGATGGTCTAAGTATGTTTTTCTTTTGCATCCATATGTGAATTGCGTGAGCTTATTTCGACCATTAGATCGAAAGATCTGAACAAGGCCACACATTTATAGGGGCTGTTTACACCTGGCCACTTCAAGCGTTATCTGTGATCGGATAGCTATATCCGATCGTGAAAAGACCAGGTGTAAATGCCCTCCGAAACGCATTCGAGACGGGTTTGAATCCGCTCGCTCACACCACATCAGGAGGAGCTCTGGGCCGCTTGACAGACGAAACTGGACAAGTGTAAATGCATCTGGTTGAGATCTTACCAGGGATGTTGCCGCTCTCTCTTATTACGGTGTGATTTTGATTTTATCTGATGATCAACAGAATGCAGCTGTTGCTTTTGGTGACGTGCACTCCATTAAATCTGCATATAGCGCGGGAATTGAAGATCGGATTTATATCCGCTTTGCGAAAACACATTTATGTGACCAGGTGTAAATGGAATCGTCTTGATAAATCAGATAGCAATCCGATCTGAGAAAACACATGTGTAAAGAGCCCCATAGACCCTCCCCTGAAGAAATCAGGACAGAAGTGGTTTAAAGTGGACAAAAGAGACGGTTTAAAACACCAGCTGTAAACAGGACACATGTGACGTCAACCAAGGAGGGAAAAAGTTTGACAAAGTGACTTCTAACATGATAAAAATACCCCAAAAAACTTTTTCATTTAAAAAAAATGCAATCAATGTGCATTATGAAATGAACCATGTTGTTTCCATGCTTCAAAATGTCTTGAAATGCAAGACTTACGTCCACTCTGAAGTCTTCGAGACGCTTGAACTTGCTCAAATGCACCTGCAGCTTGGGGTCGATCTCCATGTTCTTTGTTTTCGAGTATTTAAGAAAAGCCCAAAACTTCTCGAGTCCATACAGCTGGCCTGTCAGGGCGTATGAAGAGGGAATAAACAAGAGCTCCACACACAAACAAATGCATCTGTTGTTTGCAAAGACCGACCTGCTTCATAGTCTTTAGTGGTCTCCTCTTGGAAATCTTTAAATATGTCCGGCCTGAACTTCCTCTCGAGTCCATAGCTATAAAACCTGAAGAGACACTCCAGGCCGTACCTGAGGAACCAACACAGCGCTGTCAACTCAGAACATCACTGACCACTTTAAACTAAAGGTCACATGGGAAATGCAGTCAAACGCCATCCTGACGTCACAGAAATCTGAAAAAGTTAAATTATCAGCTTTTAATAACAAAAACAAAAATCAATTTTTCATATCGTATGCTCCATGTAAACAGGAGGGCTTATCAATAGAAGGATTCTACATTTGGATTAATCGCATACTTGAGAAATAAAGCATCATTTATCTGGTTTGACGTTCATTTTGTCGTCATTTGCGATATCCAGCACAGTAAACTAGCAGATTGAAGGGTGATTCCCAGAAAACTAATTTCTTCGAGCTTTTTTAAAAAAGAAAAAAGAGGTAAATTTGTGTCTTTCCAAAAAAGGACACTGAGATTCCCCCCCCAAAAAAAAGTAAAGTTGCGATACCGACCAGGGGTGTGTGTCCCGTACAGCGCTGTAACTCGTGCTTCACTATCACAGTACGACACCGCTGAAGAATCCACTAGCTCGTCTCCACTGTTTCCCCAAACCATATTCTCGCAAATTGGTCGTTCAACCGCGCTGGTTAATGATGTCACGCAGGTGTTGGAGTAATAACTACTGTTAATGAATCTGTTAGAGATCGAGTTAATGCGAGATGTTTCGCTATAAATTCAAAATCTGAGGAATATCTCTCATATTTCTCAGTTATTTCGCTTTATTTCCAGATTCAATCATAGACTCGTTCTCACACACTAGAGCTCGTTCACACACACTAGAGCTCGTTCTCACACACTAGAGCTCGTTCTCACACACTAGAGCTCGTTCACACACACTAGAGCTCGTTCTCACACACTAGAGCTCGTTCACACACACTAGAGCTCGTTCACACACACACTAGAGCTCGTTCACACACACTAGAGCTCGTTCACACACACTAGAGCTCGTTCACACACACTAGAGCTCGTTCACACACACTAGAGCTCGTTCTCACACACTAGAGCTCGTTCACACACACTAGAGCTCGTTCTCACACACTAGAGCTCGTTCACACACACTAGAGCTCGTTCACACACACACTAGAGCTCGTTCACACACACTAGAGCTCGTTCACACACACTAGAGCTCGTTCACACACACTAGAGCTCGTTCACACACACTAGAGCTCGTTCTCACACACTAGAGCTCGTTCACACACACTAGAGCTCGTTCTCACACACTAGAGCTCGTTCTCACACACTAGAGCTCGTTCACACACACACTAGAGCTCGTTCTCACACACTAGAGCTCGTTCACACACACACTAGAGCTCGTTCACACACACACTAGAGCTCGTTCACACACACTAGAGCTCGTTCACACACACTAGAGCTCGTTCACACACACTAGAGCTCGTTCACACACACTAGAGCTCGTTCACACACACTAGAGCTCGTTCACACACACTAGAGCTCGTTCACACACACTAGAGCTCGTTCACACACACTAGAGCTCGTTCACACACACTAGAGCTCGTTCACACACACTAGAGCTCGTTCTCACACACTAGAGCTCGTTCTCACACACTAGAGCTCGTTCACACACACTAGAGCTCGTTCACACACACTAGAGCTCGTTCACACACACTAGAGCTCGTTCACACACACTAGAGCTCGTTCACACACACTAGAGCTCGTTCACACACACTAGAGCTCGTTCACACACACTAGAGCTCGTTCTCACACACTAGAGCTCGTTCTCACACACTAGAGCTCGTTCACACACACTAGAGCTCGTTCACACACACTAGAGCTCGTTCACACACACTAGAGCTCGTTCTCACACACTAGAGCTCGTTCACACACACTAGAGCTCGTTCTCACACACTAGAGCTCGTTCACACACACTAGAGCTCGTTCACACACACTAGAGCTCGTTCACACACACTAGAGCTCGTTCACACACACTAGAGCTCGTTCACACACACTAGAGCTCGTTCACACACACTAGAGCTCGTTCACACACACTAGAGCTCGTTCTCACACACTAGAGCTCGTTCTCACACACTAGAGCTCGTTCACACACACACTAGAGCTCGTTCTCACACACTAGAGCTCGTTCACACACACTAGAGCTCGTTCACACACACTAGAGCTCGTTCACACACACACTAGAGCTCGTTCACACACACTAGAGCTCGTTCACACACACTAGAGCTCGTTCACACACACTAGAGCTCGTTCTCACACACTAGAGCTCGTTCACACACACTAGAGCTCGTTCACACACACTAGAGCTCGTTCACACACACTAGAGCTCGTTCACACACACTAGAGCTCGTTCACACACACTAGAGCTCGTTCTCACACACTAGAGCTCGTTCTCACACACTAGAGCTCGTTCACACACACACTAGAGCTCGTTCTCACACACTAGAGCTCGTTCACACACACTAGAGCTCGTTCTCACACACTAGAGCTCGTTCACACACACACTAGAGCTCGTTCACACACACTAGAGCTCGTTCACACACACTAGAGCTCGTTCACACACACTAGAGCTCGTTCTCACACACTAGAGCTCGTTCACACACACTAGAGCTCGTTCACACACACTAGAGCTCGTTCACACACACTAGAGCTCGTTCACACACACTAGAGCTCGTTCACACACACTAGAGCTCGTTCACACACACTAGAGCTCGTTCACACACACTAGAGCTCGTTCACACACACCAGAGCTCGTTCACACACACTAGAGCTCGTTCACACACACTAGAGCTCGTTCTCACACACTAGAGCTCGTTCACACACACTAGAGCTCGTTCACACACACTAGAGCTCGTTCTCACACACTAGAGCTCGTTCACACACACACTAGAGCTCGTTCACACACACTAGAGCTCGTTCACACACACTAGAGCTCGTTCACACACACTAGAGCTCGTTCTCACACACTAGAGCTCGTTCACACATGCGCACTCTTCACATACACTTTAAATCTCTTGACAAAGTCAAAGACGTAAATGACACTTGTATGTGTTCTAGATTAAAGACACCGGTTGCACTGAATGTCAGATTGCTTATTTCGCTCAAAATCAGGATTTATTGAGTCCACATGTCATGAACACTAGAAACTCTGCTTCTAACCACAGCTCGAGATCTGTCGCTCACACACACAACTCTGAGATGCTGTCGCTCACACACACAACTCTGAGATGCTGTCGCTCACACACACAACTCTGAGATGCTGTCGCTCACACACACAACTCTGAGATGCTGTCGCTCACACACACAACTCTGAGATGCTGTCGCTCACACACACACAACTCTGAGATGCTGTCGCTCACACACACAACTCTGAGATGCTGTCGCTCACACACACAACTCTGAGATGCTGTCGCTCACACACACAACTCTGAGATGCTGTCGCTCACACACACAACTCTGAGATGCTGTCGCTCACACACACACAACTCTGAGATGCTGTCGCTCACACACACAACTCTGAGATGCTGTTTGCGAATGTTCGTTGGAACGATGGTTTCGGGAAACACAGACTCGTTGAACTGATGATAACGACAGAACTAGCGACCATAGTTGGCTAGCGATGCTTTGGGGAAACACACCCCAGGTCCACATGGCCTTGATCCGACTGCATTCACTACAGTACACGGATCCATTCAGAATCACTAAACGCAGCAACATGACGAATCCAAACATTATCCTGAATGTGTGTGGAAATAACGTGAAGATACTGAAATGTGTCTGTTTATAAATACAATGTGCGATCAGTGTGTCGAGAGCACACACACTGTTGTGCACATTAATATAACGGACTCACTCGTGCTACTATACGACTCCTGTACGTCACCGCAATCTTCTTTACCTGTGATTGCAATCCACATCCCTCAGACTTTACTAGCGAGACGCTGTGTGCTTTATCCAGCCGAGAAACAGTGTGCGCATCATCGGATCGGTTCCGCTCAGTCTGTATTTCTCAGCGCGATGCGTAAGGGCTCGCGCTCTTCAGAGACAATCACAGAATATCACAGAGCTCGTGTTTTAAAGCTAAACAGACACTGGTATGAAGAATCAATTATTATATGAATGACATGAATAATTCACTGAAATCTATTTTCTCTGCCATCTCTGATGTAATCAGCCTGGTTCTCTTTATATTAGCGCTATCATGGATTGATTGTTTTAATTGATTCACTTACTATATAATTACACATTAAACTGAAAACTTTGCTGGAGTTTAGAGGCTTAAAATGATCTGATAGCAAACAGAAGCGAAATCGGGTTAAAGAGTTCTTGCACATCAAGTCAGAAATTTTCAAATGCGTTTGTGTTCGTCATCCTAAAAATAGCTAGGAAATATTGGGTCCATCCAATCCTGAGACTGCGTCGAGAGGAAGGAGTTCGTTGTGGGATTATCCTGATGATTCAAACAATAATTTCAGACTTCAGTAGATTGTCTAACTGCGCTGTGTGAATTACGTTAATGATGCAATTTTGCATGCTTCAGTTATAATTGCATAAATCGCATGCCTTAACGTTGACCAGCCTAGAACAGAGATGTTGATTTAGCTGAGAATTGAAATGCCACATGATCTTTGAGTTTGCCTAAAAAAAACAGGTAATTCTGCCTGTAATTCTCTCCAAATACCAACATTTAATCACTGATGACACTGGAATGACGCTACACCCCGCTCTCGAGCAGACACTCCTGTTCAGATAAGAAGCTTCAAGCATGATTTCCATACCTGTATCCTTCCTTCCCATCCTCCACCACCAGCTGTCTGAATTCCTCGTACATCTTCCTGTTGAAGTGATCCCGCAAGAAGAAGGACCAGAAGCGGAACAGCGTGTTCATCTCCTGAGACTGGCCGATGCCCAGACGCTTGCGCTCTGCAGGACGAGGACGACAGATCACATTAGAAACACTGCAATTAATCCAACTTATAATCGCGATTACGGATGCCATGATTATGTAATCGTTCAAAGCCGCGACTACACAAAAAGTCCACTTACATTATTCTGCGCGCTCAAGATGTGTGTTTAGAGCAAATCACGATTACTTCAGAGAACCAGCGAAATAGGAACTACCAGTGACGTGAAATAGTCTCAGAAAAACTGACTTTGCTGTTATTTTGTATATTTTTAAATGACTGAAGTTGCTCATACCAAAATAAGAGGAACAGTACTAGTGTGTGTCAACAATTTTTGTGTAAACAAATTTATTATAACAGGCCTATATAAATACAGTAGTCAACATTTGAAGTGGATCAAAACCTTTCATCAAAGTTACACAAGAATATTGAACAATACCCGTTCTCGTCTCAGGACAACTTTGAAGAACTCTTGATCCGCTTCAAATGTCGAGTACTGTATATATGCCTAAAGTGGGTCAGGGCTTGATGACCAGGGGAACTGTGGGACCCATGGCCAAACGAGTTGAGAACCACTGGTATAAAGCTATTCAAAACATCATCCAAAGTAAATTGTAATTGCGAGTATTAATTAAGATTATTACAATGTGAAGGGAATAGCGGACACTAATGAAGTGTGATGACCTGCGTGACCCACCGTTGAGGCAGCGCCGCCGGTACTTGTGGTAGACGTGCTGTGTGAAGCCGTTCTCCTTCAGGAGCTCGTGCGACGGGTGCTGGAACTTGGGGAGAGACTGAGGCGTGCAGCCGTAGTTCCCCATCGCTGCGGTGCCTTCCGACGGGCTCGCGGTCGAGCTGCAGAGAAGAGACAGCTTTACACACAGCGCTTTACAACACAGGAAGATGATGCAACAGAGTTTGTTTCCAGATGAGAATAGCGTCACAGTCCAGCTTAAGTAAGTTCAGTGATGGTTCAATTCTGTCTGGCCAACGAACCAACAGTGTGTGATTATGATTCAGGCAGCATTACAGGTCAGAGGTCAGATGGGATCAGAACATTCAACAGGAGATCTCTGAAACACACACTCACCTGACGGAGGCGGTGCGCGAGCGGTGCTCTCGCGAGTCCATCACCCAGCCCACATGACACTCCATGGGCGGGTTGGAGCTGTGTCGCGTCTTCCTCTTGCGAGGGGTCTGGAAGAGGACAGAAGCGGGAGTGAGACTCAGGCATTCAGCGGTACAATCTCCTGATCATCTACTCTCCCGCACGTCTCAAAGATGTTCATGTCTTTCTTTCTGCAGTGGAAAAGAAATGAAGGTTTTTGAGGAACACACTCCAGGGTTTCTCCATATAGTGACTTCAATGGGGTCCAACGGGTCAAAGGTCCAGATGTGAGTTTCAGTGCAGCTTCAAAGTCTCGACACGATCCAGCCGAGGAATAAGAGTCTGATCTAGACAAACCAGCCGACATTTATAACACAATACACACTTATATACTTTTATCCACTAATGCTGGTCTTGCTCGAGCTGTGATGCGACACACATTACGTAATCAGGGTGAAAGGTCACGCGTGTTCCGTTTATAAATGTAGAGAAGAACAAAAAACTCTTCAAAATCACCCCACATCGTCGTTTTAACTTTTATTCATTTATTTTGTTGTAAATAGTGTTTGACTTAAGCCCCTTAAACCCCTCGATATGATCGAATCAGATAAAAAAAATGCACAAGCGTGGTTTCTCCAGAGAGAGATCGCAGCTCATAAGCAAACTATACACGCTGCTGAGACATTACATGTCACATCGATGTCACGTGTCTTTACGGGATTTTTACAGGTTGTGTGTGAACGCGCTCTCTGATTCCGGAAAATCACTGGCAGTGTGAATGAACCAAAATCAAACGAACCCGGGTCACTTTATCCGTGTATTTCCCGGAATCTCTGTGTGAAAGGGGCTCTAGTCTTTGCACGTTGGCTTTGTACACACTGGGTCGGTTCTTCCGCCTACGTCGTAAATTACGCAATCACGTAATGTGTGTCGCATCACAGCTAGAGCAAGACCAGCATTAGTGGATAAAAGTATATAAATGTGTATTGTGTTATAAATGTTTGTCTAGATCAGACTCTTATTCCTCGGCTGGATCGTGTCGAGACTTTGAAGCTGCACTGAAACTCACATCTGGACCTTCGACCCGTTGGACCCCATTGAAGTCACTATATGGAGAAACCCTGGAGTGTGTTCCTCAAAAACCTTCATTTCTTTTCCACCGAAGAAAGAAAGACATGAACATCTTGGATGACGTGCGGGAGAGTAGATGATCAGGAAGTGGTAATTCTGAAGTGCACTCCTCTAAGCAGGACCGGAGCTCATACGCACCTTGGCATCGAGCGGCCGGCCGTCCTTCACCACGGGGTAGAAGCGTGGCGTCTGCGTGGGGTCCTTCAGGCGGGGGGTGCGGGGGGTCCGGGGCGTTCGGGCACTGCGGTAGTTGGGCGAGTCAGGCACTGTCGTCGGGAGAGAGCGAGCGATGGCCGACGGTTCTGGGGCGCCGAACAGCTTGTTGGCCAAGGCCTCCGTGGGGACTACAGGAGACGACACTCGAGGTTAAAAGAGACAGTCAAGTCATACAAGATGCTTCTGTATTGTATTGAGAATGAGTTGAACATGCAAAAAAAGAGAAAAAAGTGAAAAACATCACAAGAACAAAAATATGCTTTTCTGATGCATCCCAATTCTCTCGTCTACAGTCAGAACTGGTCCACAGAGGAGTTATTCCCTGTGTATGAGCGAGGGCATTGTGTGCTAGAGACTGTCGTATTCTGCTTGCAAAACCATCAAACTAATAAATGAACTTGCGTAAGGTTTCAGGGTCGAAGCGACTGTGTTGAGATCTGTGAGATTTCCCTTATAAAAGCTACGAGTTTGTTCATGCTGTAGAGACTCAGCCGAAGCCATCGAGCGTTCTCTAACTCAGACCAGCGACTGAAGAGAGCAGGAGGACGATGACAGGATAAGACATGATAAATAAATAAAGACGATTCATGTGGTCTGTTGGCCATTACAAACTCTTCTGAGCCGGTTGAAGAGATGCGAGTCCAGATCCGTTACGGTTTTCACTGGTGAAGACCTGTGAGATGTTATATCAGGAGGCTAATGCTGCAAACACGTCTAGGCTAACTGTTAAAATAAATGTTATTAATATACATATGTACTAAGGACGCACGATATATCTGACACCATATCGGTATCGCCCAATATATAATATAATAAATAAAATAATGGATTATTTCCTCCAGCTGTGCACTGTTGTGATGGCTTTAAATTGCTTGAAATCACTTCAAAAAAAAGAAAATACAGTTCAGTGCAACATGTGCAGCGCCAGGCTGTCGTATCGGCTACATGATCATCATCATTATAATTGTGCGTTTGGGACATGGCTTGTAACTGTGAGACTTTTGTTTTTGTAACCAGGCTCTCAAAAATTATATAAAAATGAGTGCTGGGCAACAATTAATCGTGATTAATCGCATCCAAAATAAAAGTTTGTGTTTAAATAATATATGTGCGTTTATAATTATTTTGTGTGTGTGTGTCTGTGTGTATATATATATATATATATATATATATATATATATACACACACACACACACACACACACACACACAAAAACACACACAAAATAATTATAAACACATATTTAAACAAACTTTTATATATATAAATACACACATATGCATGTATATATTTAAGGAATATTTGCATGTATATACATTTATACACAATTTGTTATATATAAATATAAATATTTTATATATAAATAGCACATTTTTCTGAAATATATAAATGCATGTGTATTTATATACAAAATATTTAGACACACATATATTGTGTAAACACAATCTTTTATTTTCGATGTGATTAATCGTTGCCCAGCAAATTTAGATTTATCGGCCAATATTTCGGTTACTTCCAAATATAAATAATTATCGTTATCATAATAGGCCAAAATGTTCATATTATAGCATCTCTAGTATGCACATATTGTTCGATGCGGATGTTAAGTTTATAATGTTGTGAGTCAATTTACAACCGCTTAGACTGCCCATAAATTAAACGTTACTTGAATGTTTTTACAATACATGTAAGAGACGTAACTGTTAGCAACGTTGGGATGTAAATGAATGAACACTTATTGTAACCCGTGCCACACCACGAGGGGGGGGGGGTGAACTCACTCTGCTGGGGTCGGGGCGGGCCCGGGGGAACCTCCTGGTTGGGGTCGATGGGCGGCTCAGGGGTCAGGCACTCGAACTCCTCTCTGCTGATCAGGTGCACCTTCTTGAAGTTCTCCACTTCTTGCTGTTGCGGAAACATACAAGAGTTACAACAACAACACAAAAACCAGAACACACACAGTCATCCTCACTCCATATAATCCAGCGGGACAACGAAACAAGCTAAACATTAATGCGACTTCCTGACATCATGATGATACACAACATCTCGCTCGTACCTGTGCGCCGAAGAGAGCCATGAACCCCCGGGCTGCTAGTCAAACAGCAGTAAACTGAGCAGGCTAACGCTATCTGTCTTTTCTAGCGGCTCTGCTGGCCTTACAGGACTCGCACGTGAGCGGCACAAAGAGCACAGCACAAAAGACCACAACAAACACTCTGGTGGAGGACCATTCTGTCCGGCCAGGTCCAGAAACACTGCGCTACAGCACACACTCTCACACACACGAGAAGAAAAGCAGCACACGAGAATGGACACACACCCAGAATCTGACAGAATTAAACTCATCTCATGACAGCCGGCACAATGAACACACACACCAGCTCAGATCAGCTGTCCCCGCTCATAACACAGCAGTGCACACGTCACATGACCCTTCACTACTGATCAACTTTAAAGCCCCCCTGTGGTGGACATCCAGCTTTAATGTGTATGTGTCTATGTGGTGTTTTTAATACGCTTTAAGACACACCATGTGTAAGTTCATAAGTCGACAGCATTGCTGAGTATTTTCTGCTTAAAGCAGCACTTGGCAACTTTTTCAAATTAAAAAATCCATTTAGAAATCATTTGGATGTTTAAATAACCAGTTCTGGTGAGAATGGTGACTTTCCCCGCTCCCCCCAGCGTTCCCAGGCGGAAAACCAGCCTTGCAACATAGGGACTACCGCCCCGGTAAGTTGGAAATAGGAAGTCTCGTGAGAAGCGAGAACGAGCGAGAAAGAGCGAGAAACACAAACTGCTTTACGGCAATTCGAAACACACACGCCCCCCTCAAACTCAATACTAGCTAAAAGAACACGCGATGATGGATAATGCTTCACAAGTTCCAGTGAAAAGAAAAAGGAGACGGTACTCGGCGGAGGAGGTGAGGGAGAGGAAGAAAGCTGTTGAGCGAGCGAGGGACAGCACAAGAATAAATATTGGTTGTTAGAGCTGGGTTTCGATTCAAATTCTCAAGATCTTGAATCGATTATCATTATTCGATCCGATCCGATCTGATCCGATTTTCGAGATTTAGATAAGTGTTTTTGTTTTTTCCAGCTGTTACCTGAATTACAGGACTGTAGTTATGCAACATATTGATACTATTAGGCTATTATAGACATTTAACTGCTTGTTTTGAACTTCATGCATGTGTATTGAATGTTAAACAAGTTCATAATGATAACAAACAAGACTGTTTATCGTGGTGATGTGTAGCCTACAGAGGCTTCGCACAGACAGTGAATGAGAGAGATCGGCAGAGCGCGTGCGATTACCTGCGTCTGTCTTTGAAGTCATATGTATTGGTGAAAAAGGTTGCCGTGTCAAAGGAATGCGAAATATTTGTCATGTCATCCTTTTAACGTTCACGTCACGGGTATTTACCATAAATGCGCGTCAGCAGCAGCGCTGGTCAGCATTCCACAGCGCGAGGAAGCCGCGGGAAATAACATCAGCGAGTCACGCATTGAATCAATGCCATATTAGTCTCTAATAAGTGAAGCATCAGTTTCAGCGTTACCCATGCGACGCATTGCTGCTCAGCTGAGCCTTGAAAAGTGGAACTCAAAGTTAAAAATAATTAACACCTTGTTTCATTACATCTCTTTTAATGAATCAGCTTTTTTGAACGTGTTCGTTGAATGAACGGTTTAATGACTCACTCAAAGCCCGTTGTTGTAACAGTGTGCGCGCTGAGTGAAAGCCTTTCAATGCGCATACAGGGATCTCCAGTCGCGGCAAGTTAAAGTTCACGGGGAAAATGTAAGCCTATTATTAAATCGATCCTCTGAGTTACGGATCGATCTTTAGAAATTAATATGAAAATCGATTCAGAATTGGTGAATCGATTTTTTCAACACAGCCCTAATGGTTGTGCGTTTACTTAATGGTGAGAGCTAAAGGACATCGAATCTTGCAAAACAGATGCTGATCTAGCGTTTCTGTGTCAATAAAATTGTTTAGACTTTGGTCGACGTTATGATCTATAATTGTTCTATAAGTAAGGAATAATTGACGACAGGCCGTTGAATTATTAGAAAAATAATGCACACCCGAGGTGGTAATGCGGTCACGACGCGAAGCGGAGCCGTTACACCTCAGTGTGCATTATTTTTCTAATAATTATCAAATTAAATAGAAGTATCAAATTACATTCATAACTGGCCTTATAATCAGTGTGTCCCGGCTTTATGCAGTTATTAATGCCGTTTTTAGAGAGAGAGAGAGAGAGAGAGAGAGAGAGAGAGAGAGAGAGAGAGAGAGAGAGAGAGAGAGAGAGAGAGAGAGAGAGAGAGAGAGAGAGAGAGAGAGAGAGAGAGAGAGAGAGAGAGAGAGAGAGAGAGATGTTGCAATAATGAGACAGAAAAGCATGTGCGTCAATATTATTATTTATTTATTAATTAAATTTGTTTTAATTAATTCGTTCATTCTTGTTTTCTATAATTGACAGTAGATAACCCAATAAATGAAACACACAAAGCCCTTTTAACAAGTAGGCCTATCAATAATTATTTATTTGTTATATTATCTGGAATAATTACGAAAACCCAGCAGGACTATCAATTTATTTATATAGCCTATTCAATTTAATTTTCTATTTAGCCTATAGATAGGACTACATACTTTATTTATTAAAATTTATTTATTAAAAAACTGTATGTGTCCATTGATTGTGAAGTTAGACATAGAAAATTGCAGATCAAGTGCATGGGGCTGCATGTTTTTTCTTGTTATGAATTGTATCCTATTTTCCGTTATTGCGCGCAGTGATATGGAACTGTAATGCGGTCAAACCACTGATCTATATAATGACTGGATAGCTCATGCCGTTCTAAACTGCCACCAGGCAGTGAAGCCACCGGAAGTGTTCGAGCGGCCATCTTACGATTCCCTACCAGCAGAGGCTCCAGCGGCCATTATACAGAGATCGGTAGCTCCGACCCGCTGTGCATCAACAAGTGTAAAACGAAGATCACAAAAGGATCTTGAAAAACTGCTCACAGGTTGTACTTTAAGCCCATATATAGTAATTTATATGCACAATTGTCGCTATTTCAGTGTTGTTTAAAAAAAAAAATTATAGCCTACTATGCATTCTTTCACAGACGTATTCAAGTTTAAACCCAATAAACGTATATTTATTTAATGTGTTACTTCTTATAAATTTAATTAAATGCATTTATTTAATATTTTCATGTCAATCCGTGTTCAGTTTGACCACGAACCATGCGCTGTCACTTTAATTCAGCGCCTGCAGGACACACGATCTCTGCACGCACCGCACAGGACGGGCATCCGCGTGCAGTGAAAGCTCCACCTGTTGACATGGGTATGGTAAAAAATATGCACTGCAAACGGAGTAGGCCTATGTGTAAACCCCTTATTTACACTGCACACATCTGCGGCGCATTATGGCTCCGACAATGTTTTATTCCTACCTTCACGCGGTGTCAACTCACACCGCGAGCATTTTTCAAGTGATTTGCCGATGTGTGGGCGCGATCAGCTCCGGTAGCCGTGTCGCAGCTGTAAACGCGCCGCAGACGTGTGCAGTGTAAATAAGGGGTAAATAAGAGGTGAAACAGGTGTACATTAACCCATACAATTTGTATTATGCATTTCCTGGACATGTTCTTGCTAACTAATCAAATACTTGAGCAGACTACTCATCTATCTGTAAAACAATCAGAAAGAGCTAAATTTTAAGTTCACAATTCACATATACTTAATTTTTAGTAAGCAGGAATAATTTCCGACTTTAAACAAATACCCATTTAAATGCTTAGGATGTTTGCGTTGTAAGACTGTTCAGGGAGACTTTAGATTTAAAGACGGTGTCTCGTTATGCAATGTTTTCTCAGTCAAATCATACAATTTCCTATTGAATCAATAGAACGCGTGAGCTCACTAGGGAATCACAATATGGCGGCGCGGTGGCTTCACTGTTTATGACGTCATGAGCTATCCAGTCATTCTATATAGATCAGTGGGTCAAACCTGCCTGGAACTACTTTAGCCGTGCGTTTCCCTGAAAATAATTGCACACCTTAGAACGTTCTCAACCAATCAGAATCAAGCATTCAACAGCCCTGTAGTATAATAACATGTAAAACATTGATTGTAACCAATAATGTATCCTGTCTACATTAGAAAAGACTGCAATGTGAGCTTTGTCTGTACAATTATAAGATAAACTTTATCACAGTTCCTTTTGGGGGTAGATTAATCTATAACTAAGATGAATAAGCGGTAATGTTCGCTAGATTCATCTGCCCACTCCATTACGGATTATGGTTGATAACAGAATACAAAATGTACATGTCAATGTTAAATGATACTCTGTTTGATGTATTACCCACCACGGTAGACATAGCTCCACACGATAAAGTTGGAGTGTCTGGGACTCATTTGTTCAACACACCGGATCCGACAATAACAAAAGCACATGAGCGCGTCTACGGTAAAGGGGAGTAGGGCGCCGCAAGTGAATTTACGTTAGTGTTGTGAAATATTCGCACCACAGCTGTAGGGGGAGCTCGTTGAGAAAACATGCGACAAGAAAAGTGAAAATCAGCGAATAAGTGGCTAGAGTTACCGAACGGCCCTTTAAAACTGCGGTGAACCAAAGACCGTCTCAAAAACACGGTTTGAAATCGCTGGTGTTTCTGACGTCACAAAGACCTTGTAACCAATCAGATCAACGTGTGATCGTCAACCAGTGGATCTCTGAGCTGAGTGAGTGAGTGGAGGCGGGGCTCATTTGCATATTCATAGAACCGCGCATAGTAAATGAGTCAGGGGTGTCGAGTTACATTCAAGATATTTTAAGGAAAAAACTTTTAAATATGTTATTTTAGTGATCAAAGATGAGTTAAGTGATAATTTATTGACTAAGATATTTCAATGTTTTGAATGAAAACACTGAAGGAATTTCAAAAACCATTTCACTCTTCGTCAAGCCACCTAAAAACACTATAAAGCCTCCATGAAATCAAAACTGACAATTCTATTTATGTGTTGTTTAAATCGTCTTGAATCAGAATAACTTCTTGCAGCTTCTCTTCTCTGATGACGAGGGCGGGGCTATAACCCGTCACTCACATGAGATCAGCCAATAGCAAACCACAACCATCCAATCATTGCCCCACAGACACAATCAAGCCCCGCCCACATGTGTTCTTGCTCCAGAAGTGTTTCACTCGGATATACGACACAATAGAGGAGAAAAGACCAGCGAAACTCCCCTTTTATGACGAGTTTAAGTGCACTACAGTAGGAAGTCATCCTGCTTTCTCTCTATTACTGATTTTGATGATTTGGAAATGCTCAAACATGCCAACACACAAAATTAAACCAAAGTGAAATGAAGTGAAACGTTTTGAAAGGAAGAGTGACGGGGATAAGCGTCTCACCTTGATCATGGCGTACTCCGGTTCGTACGTGTCGTCCCAGAGGTCCTGCTCGTAGTAGTACAGGCCGTCGTTGATGACCTTCACGAGCTCGCTGCTCAGCTTGGACCTCGAGGTGTGGTTCCCCGTGCGGTCTCCTCCTGGGTGCTTGCGCAGGTACGGCGGCGTCTGAGTCACGATCAGGATCTTGTTGACGTCTCGATCATCGATTTCACAGTCCGAATCCTCGTCCGACCAGTCGGTGAAAGTGTTGCGCCGGCCGTCGATCTGCTCCATCTCCTCGTCGAACATGAAGTCCAGCTCCTCGGGCTCGTCCGGCTCCTCGCCTGACGCCGGGCCGGTCTGAGCGGGCGAACGCACCGCATCTGCTTTCTGCAAAACAGCCCAACATCGCCACAGGGTTATGATGCTGCAGGCACCGACACAGAGCAGGCGAGGGTGTGTGTGACGCCACTGTCGGCCGGAGGGACTGCGGTCACACACACCGAGCGCGAATGCCACGGAAAACACAAAACTCATCTAAAACAGGAGAGAGTTTTGAGATTGACTGAACAACTAGATTTGACAAGAAATCTGAGGTATATTTTTACAGACTGACGAAAGCTACAGAACAGAGAAGCAATTGCTGTGATTCACAGACACAACTGGATCCAGGCATTTCTGTGTCAATATGCTGAATTTAGGGGTAAAATCATACCTTATATATTGTATTGAAAACTCAATTAAATATTTACCATCGTATATTCTGCATAATTGGATGTTTTTTAATAAAAACTGGCAAAAAAATACACAAGTTTTAGGCCTGGACATGTATTGCCCCGTCGTGGAAATCAGGCTCATATAAATGTGAGGAAACACGATTCCTGCTGCATGTCAATATCCATGATCACTGGATCTCTAGTAAGTTGTAAGGAACACTATATCGAGTCCAAGCTTTAGTTTAAACTGAGAAAACGATTATCAGTTTCCCCTGTGAAATCCAGTCCGCTCTTCTGCCGCTCAGTCCGGCTGAGGGAGTGTGTCCCCGCGGGAAACTGACGCCAATTCATTCCCTCTATTAAACTCAACTACATCTGTATTATGTCATGGTTTTGCATCAACTCAACATACGGAACAGTTGTTGCTGAAAATAAATCAAATTTCTCATTTCTCCTTTTGATTGTGGTGGGACAAATGACCCAGACGTGTTTAGGACGGCCAAAAATAATCAAACTTTCAGCTCAAAATACCCCACAGATCATTTGTCAAATCTGTTCAGAAGAGGGCGGAGGCTGTACACGAGCTTCAGATACTCCGGCAATAACACAGGCCAATCTCACTCATCCAATCTCTCATAAATAATCTTCCAATCAAAAAGAAATCGCGAAGTAGTGCACTTCAGAGGAAAAATCTCCTGATAATCTACTCTCCCACACGTCATCCAAGATGTTCATGTCTTTCTTTCTGCAGTGGAAAAGAAATGAAGGTTTTTGAGGAACACACTCCAGGGTTTCTCCATATAGTGACTTCAATGGGGCCCAACGGGTCGAAAGGAGAAGAAACATGTGTCGCATCACAGCTAGAGCAAGGCCAGCATTAGTGGTTATAAGTATATAAGTGTGTATTTTGTTATAAATGTCGGCTGGTTTGTCTAGATCAGACTCTTATTCCTCGGCTGGATCGTGTCGAGACTTTGAAGCTGCACTGAAACTCACATCTGGACCTTCGACCCGTTGGACCCCATTGAAGTCACTATATGGAGAAACCCTGGAGTGTGTTCCTCAAAAACCTTCATTTCTTCTCGACTGAAGAAAGAAAGACATGAACATCTTGGATGACGTGGAGGAGGAGAGTAAATGATCAGGAAATGTTCATTCTGAAGTGCACTCCTCCTGTAAAACCTGCTCCTCCTACCTTGGGTCGGGCGGGTGAAGGCCTCGGCCTCTTCTTGACCTCGATCCATGACTCCGAGTCCAGATCCGGCAGGCTGGCGGACAGGCCCTTGGGCATCAGCTTCAGGTTGCTCACGTCATCAGTCTTGTGGTGCTGCGGTGTGGAGGATCTCGGGGAGCCTGTCGGGGTCAAGCGCTCAGTCAGGGGTGTGTGTCCCGTACAGCGCTGTAACTCGTGCTTCACTATCACAGTACCGCTGAAGAATCCACTAGCTCGTCTCCACTGTTTCCCCAAACCATATTGTCACAAATTGGTCGTTCAACCGCGCTGGTTAATGATGTCACGCAGGTGTTGGAGTCATAACTACTGTTAATGAATCTGTTAGAGATCGAGTTAATGCGAGATGTTTCGCTATAAATTCAAAATCTGAGGAATATCTCTCATATTTCTCAGTTATTTCGCTTTATTTCCAGATTCAATCATAGACTCGTTCTCACACACTAGAGCTCGTTCACACACACTAGAGCTCGTTCACACACACTAGAGCTCGTTCACACACACTAGAGCTCGTTCTCACACACTAGAGCTCGTTCACACACACTAGAGCTCGTTCACACACACTAGAGCTCGTTCACACACACTAGAGCTCGTTCACACACACTAGAGCTCGTTCACACACACTAGAGCTCGTTCACACACACTAGAGCTCGTTCACACACACTAGAGCTCGTTCTCACACACTAGAGCTCGTTCACACACACTAGAGCTCGTTCACACACACTAGAGCTCGTTCACACACACTAGAGCTCGTTCACACACACTAGAGCTCGCTCACACACACTAGAGCTCGCTCACACACACTAGAGCTCGCTCACACACACTAGAGCTCGCTCACACACACTAGAGCTCGTTCACACACACTAGAGCTCGTTCTCACACACTAGAGCTCGTTCACACACACTAGAGCTCGCTCACACACACTAGAGCTCGCTCACACACACTAGAGCTCGCTCACACACACTAGAGCTCGTTCTCACACACTAGAGCTCGTTCACACACACTAGAGCTCGTTCACACACACTAGAGCTCGTTCTCACACACTAGAGCTCGTTCTCACACACTAGAGCTCGTTCACACACACTAGAGCTCGTTCACACACACTAGAGCTCGTTCACACACA